CACAAGTTCTCAAGGTTAGCGTGAAGGACAACGACGATATCAAGGGTATATATGCAGCGATGGTGTACAATGATTGTGGAAATGCTGTTTTTCTGAATGAACTTGAATCTCTTATCAAAAATCAGATAGAGAAAGCTGAGTCAACCAAACGGACTAAGTTTGTATATCCTAAGGAAGCCGTTAGATTAACTCGTATGTTGCACTTACTCAGTGTAATTGCCTTTATAGCTGGGAGTTGTTTAGTAGATCCACATTTTAACAGTTTCGTTTGTAAGGCAGTTGGAGAGCTGTGTATTAAACTTGATGAAAGTATGGTAGTTTCATGAACTTGACCTTTATTTCCAGTCATTGGTGAAGCTGTACATCCTGAGTATGGCAGCGTCCGGATATCAGCGATGGTACGAGATCTCGAGCGGAGAGTTAGGAACACATACAGTCAGTTCACAGAGAAAGGCTGTAAAATAACAAATCATCCACCTGTGTCGATCAAGTTGGGTGAGTTTCAATATGACAAGATATGTGTTTTTGTTAAGGTCTATTAATGCCAAGCTATAATTTTTATTCTGCAATATTGTGTTGCCTGTAAATTTGGCATTCGTGATTTTTCAGGTTTTTGTGTAATAAAGTTAGTTGTGAGATTTATGCTTAAACTATTCTTAAATTGATGTAAACATTATTAACAGAGAAATAGAGTTATGTACAATATAGATTGGGGTCTTGTAAATTGAATCAGAATCTCAGAATTAAAAACCTACTTGGCATACATAAAGAAATGGTTCACGAGTAAATGTAGACTAGGAGAAATAACCTCTATTTTCTAATGCATGCTAAACATTAGTTAGCGTCTGTATTAGTTGCGTATTATTGAAGTCAGTAGAGAGTCAAGTTTTTACTATGTGTGTATTCTAAGTAATCACCCCGTCATCGCGAAAGTGACAGAATGCTTCAGTTGCATCTGCCTTCACCAAGGCGGAGACAGCATTCTGATATATACTACCAAACTACTTTTTATTTATAGCCTATGCATTTAAATTAAAATTTTTAAAAAGTCTTTATTATAGCTAGAAGTGTGGAATTTTCAGCATGTAATATCGGTAGCCCAAATTAAGCAGGCTGACCATTGATATCAAGTGTGATTCGACCGGGGACCGAACCTCGGACCACGTGCATGGTCGGTGAGCGGCCTAACCGCAGTGCCACTGACGCGCCGTCAAAGCGTATGTCGGAAGTGGAATGACAGCAGTTGTACGGCAGCTGGTTAGCGCATTGCTTCTTCAAGACGACTGTAAGTTAAAATCAGTCTGAATGATCTCTCCCTGGAGCTACTTCGTTACTGGTCATCACCCGTATTTCTAGCAGAATTGATTGATGAGTGATTCTACATTATTTTATTCCTCAACGTTCTAAGTGGAACATAGAGCTTCAAGCTAAAGCTTTAAAGTTTCGGCAGCAGTGATGTTTATTTCTACGAGATGGGGTTGTTAGCTTCATGCCCCACAAACTTCATTTTTTACCAGTCTTATTACTGGCTTAGTAAGGTAAAGGAGTGCGTCGGCAGGGGATAGAACGCCCTGACTACACGAGGTGGTTAGCGAACATCCTATCGCTCTGCCACCGACGCGATTCTATATTGAAGTCCCTGAATTCAACCAGTCGTAAGAGATCTAGTGTAAAATAGTTCAAAAATGGATGATAGATACACGCGTCTGTAGTCCGTTTGTTTGGCTTTTGTTCATTTATCATGATGGCGTAGTGCAAGAACTTTCATTTCGTTATGAAGTTGTCTCATGATATTTTGACTAAGAAAACAAAGGATGCATTCATTGCT